GGTTCGCGGGGCTGTCGCTGGTGCAGCTCAACGAGCTGCTGGAGGACGAGGGACAGCTGACACAGATGGTGCAGAAGATGGAGGAGGTGAGCCCGGCGGGGGTCGAGGCGGCGGCCGCGGGGCCTCCCACGGGTTCGCGCCTCGAGCAGTGGCCCGAGGCGGAGGCGACCGCGGTGCCTCCAGTGGCGATCGGGGGACCGGGGCGAGATTCGGGGGCCGGGAAACCGCGACTGGTGTTTAGGCGGGAGTGGGGGCCGAAGGGACCGAGACGGGGCTTGGGGTTCCCGAGGCAAGGCTTGGGGGGCTGAGGACCCAAAGCCAGGCTGAAGTGGGGCCGGGCTGTAATTAGGGATTCGGGGACTAGGGAGTTGCGGCTGGGTCGGGGGGCGGGGAAGAGGAGGGAATTGGGAGATCTGAGATGGACTTGGCAGGGGGAGGGGGAGAGTGGTGGGGTCTGAGTCGGAGGCGAGGATTAGGGGTGACTGTAGGGGCCAAAGGCTGGGTCTGGACCGGGATTGGGGGCTTTGAGGGGAAGGAGCGGAGAGTTATTGGGGGTCTGAGAGTAGGTTTTGGGGGGCTGAGTGAGCTAGCAGGATATGATTCTTAGGACGGAGGTTTCCAGGATGGCCTTGGGAGACTGAGGGTCTGTAGCTGGGTCTAGGAAGTGATTCTAAGGGGCTTTGAGGGCTGGGCAGGGACCCCCGACGTTTGGTGGCAGGAGGACAGGGCCCTAGCCAGGGTTAGGCTTGAAGAGTCCGTGTGTCTCAGGAGTCCAAGAGCGTCCCTGGAATCTGACTTCTTTCGAAGTGGCCCTACCAGAGTGGTACCGGGGGTTCTTTTTCTTGGTGGCAGCAGGATCCATTTTCTATAAGGGTTGCCTCCCGCCGTGGAAGGGACCGTGGGAATTCTAGCATGGCTGGCTTGGCACCACAGTGTCCCACCCATCTGCGGCCAAGGAAGGTTCCTGGAGCTGTTTCTGGGAGAAGATAAAATGGGGGTTGGGGGCTTACTGCCAACCCCCACCTCTGATAGCCAGGGCCCTGCCCAGCCCCTGGAAGTCATGTGCACGCCCTTTCTGGTTATCTTCCTCTATCCGTACCTTGAGTGTGGTTTGCTGTCAGGGGTAACTGATTTTATCCTTGTAGATTCGCAGCTTGCAACGAATCATTCGTCCCTTTCTGGCAACCCTTTTGTGTACTTTCTCAGAAAGTTGGATCCTATGGGTCTGAGTCTCCTCCAGGCAGGTGGACCCAGGCTCACCCCAGCTCTCCCTGGCCCACCTACCAGTCCTGCTCCTTTTTGTCTGAAGTCCAAGCCTTCCCACGCCTCCAGTGCTGAGTCTCTCACCCAGGAGCTGGTGTGGGGGCTTTTGGCTTTCATTCCGAAGAGGGATTGTTTCGCACCAAGCCAGCCCCCTTAAAAGAGGGCTTGTATGGAGGTAGCACATTCAAAATCCCTGGAAAACCCTCAACAGATCATTGTCCAGAGCTACAGAGAGGCCACTGTAGTAAGATGGTATCAGTCTTTCCATTAATACACCCCTTGTATTCACGGGCTTTGTAACTTGGCACATGTAATGTTGCTCCGAGATGCAATTTACCCCATTTATGGTCTCCATGTGGCTCTTTCCATTTTAGAGAATAATAAGTGACAAAATCCATGTTTCTTGACTGAATAAGAGTTTCATGTCTCCAAAGAAAGAAAACCTTTGCTTAGTTTCTCTGCTTTTCAGTTGCTGGGAGACCTTTTGTTGTCAGCAGGGCATCTTTCTAGTTTAATAATAAAGTGATAGGTATATTTTTCTAATGTGTAACACTGCCTACAAGTTATTTTGGTATACGTGACTATTCTGTGTCAGTAAGAACAGAAGGTGGAACATTAATAGAAATAAACTGCCTTTTAGTGGAAGGAAGATTGTAGAAAGAGTCAGGTTAATTCTGCTGAATCAGAGGCTGTTAGGGACAGCCTCACTTGTTCTTTACCTAAGAACCTGGAGATTATTTTTTAAAGAGAAAGGTAAATTAACTAGGATTTTTTTTCAACCCCCTCCCAGTAAAAGTGACCTTCGTACCAGAGTACCCTTCAGAAATATTGAGACCTGACACCACTTGATTATACTGCATAGTTGAAGTTAAATTACTCAGCAGTAGTTTGCTTTTCGGGTGTAGTGCTTTGAAAACAAGGAAACTGAATTTGAAAACCAAAATGCCTTAGGCAACTCACCTAGCCGGGGTCACCCTTGGCAAATCCTGTTGCCCTGCTGATGTGAAGTGCCTTTGTCAAGGAATGGGTGTAACGAAATTTTTGGCTGTGGTAGTTTTGTCACCTGGTAGTGTTAGACATTGGCTTATTTTGGGATGTGAGATACAATAGAAGAAAATGATTTGTGAGCTGTTTACTCTTGACTAAATGGAACATTTATGATGGAGTGTTGAAGAACATTCGGGCTTTGGAATCATACACTTCAGACTGGACTTGGCCACTTCCCAGCAGTGTGATCCAGGCAAGTCGCTTCACCTCTCTGAACATCTGTAAGAAAGGGATAATATAATAACATCTGTTTGTTTTGTGGAAAGAGTTGCTATGAAGATCAGGTAAAATCATGCCTGTTAAGCACTTAACACAGCCATTAGTTCTCAATAAAGAATGATTGCAATAATTAATAATCACTTGTAGTGCTCTCTTTTTTGAAAAATTAGAGAAAATCATTAGTACCAGATCATCCTGACAAGTTGGGTCTCATTTTAAGAGTTTTAAATAAATTTTGTTTGCCATTAGCCTAAGAAATGTTTACCTTTTTTTTTTTTTTTTTTTTTTTTACATTTACCTTTTATTTTATTTCTTATTTTTTATTTTTTGATTTGGAGTCTCACTCTTGTCACCCAGGCCGGAGTGCAGCAGCACACGCTCACGGCCATAGCAGCCTCCACCTGCTAGACTTAGGCTGTCCTTCATGCCTCAGCCTTCCAAGTAACTAGAACTACAGACACACGCCACCACGTCCAGCTAGTTTGTGTGTGTGTGTGTGTGTGTGTGTGTGTGTATGTGTGTATGTATGTGTGTGATTTATTGTAGAGACGAGGTCTTACCAAGATGCCCAGGCTGGTCTTGAACCCGTGGGCTCAAGCAATCCTCTCACCTCGGCCTCCCAAAGTGCTGGGGTTACAGGCTGAGCCACCAAGCCCAGCCACGTTTACCTATTAATGGTCAAAATGATTATGTGTTTGAGTAGGGTATAGCTACAGCATAGACTCTCTTTACCTGAACCAAAAGGTTTTTTTGTTTTTGATTGGCAGAAGGAAGTGTTTTAAATTGTGGAGTGAGGCTTCTTCAAGCCTGAGGGGATATTTTGTGGAGACTGGAAAGTGTGGCTATGTTTTGAAGGCATTCACTGTTAGGTTTTAGTGCAGGTGTTCATTATGCCTCACTGACATTGTTTTAATTGTGGTGTGTGAGTTGTAGCACAGCTCGGAGTTAAAAGGATGTCAGAGCCTTAGACTTTCCCATTTTCTGGGCCCGTGTGTTAGTCTGTCTTTCCCTGTTCCTCCTGTTCATTATGCACTTCCCCGAATGTAGTCCGTATATTCTTAGTGATCTTATCCTCTTTCCTTTTGCTGTAGGCTGATGTTTCATATGCACACATTTTATTTTTATTTAAAGTTATTTTTACACGGCAGTGGAATGTGCCTTCATCTATCCACATGAGCCCCCTTTTTTTTCTTGCAGGGCACTCCCTTAAAAGGCACTGTCGCTTAGGGATTAGGCAGCTAAACCGGACCTCTTGGGTCATTGCTCCCAGCACGCTTTCTGAGGAAATGCTGATGGGGTTGGTACTAACTCGATTCCACTAAGGATTCAAATTGGGGATCTTTGTTCCTGTGGCAGATGAAAATGCCCATATGCAAAAATGCTGAGGGTCTGAAAGACAGATTGTTTTGTGGGAAGTAAAGAGCTCTGGTCTGAAGAAGCTGTTTCCCTAAGGCGTGTTGGGGTGTGATTTGTGTGGGGCTGAAAGCTACCGCATGAATCATAATGGCTCATTGAAATGTACTGACCTTGCTTTAGCTCCAAGGCCTGCCTCCCGAACACACACTTTGAAGGCGGGGAGACTGATTTTTAGAAGCCAAGACTTGACCTCTGTGAGTGTGCTACGACTGGCGGTTCTTCCCATGTTATAGAATCACTATTGTACATGAAAAGGCTTCAGCTTTTGTGTTTAAGTCTTCTTTTCCATGGACCCTTCACTCTAACTCTTGAGTAAAAAAATTACTGTGTCCAGGAGTAGCTTCTGAAATTCAACTTTATCTCATTTTATCTTTTTTTTTTAAAGGAGGCATTAAGAGCTCATGGGAAGAACATAGTTTAGAGTTGTGTGACCTTATTTAAGTGACTTCAACCCTCTGTGCTTCTGCTTCCTCAGCTGTAAACTGAGGATAGTGGTCAGGTCTGCCTTTTAGGGTTCTTGTGAGACCAACTGTCCCACCAGGTGAAGACAAGACTTGGCACAGAGGAAGCATTCTGTAGAGGCTAGCTCCCTTTCTTTAATCAGGGAGTTTCAAAATTGTTAGAATGGCTTAGATGAAATCGGATCCAGTTATTTATTTATTTATTTTTTTTGAGTTGGAGTCTCACTCTGTCACCCAGACTGGAGTGCAGTGGCTGTTGCCAGCCACTGCAGCCTCGACCTGCTGGGCTCCGGTGATCCTTCTGCCTCAGCCTTCCAAGTAGCTGGAACTACAGGCACGTGCTACCACACCCAGCTAATTTTTCAAAAATTTATTGTAGAGATGAGGTCTCACCAAGTTGCCCAGGGGGTCTCGAACCCGCGGGCTCAGGCAATCCACTCACCTCAGCCTCCCAAAGCACGGGATTACAGGCTGAGCCACTGAGCCTGGCCAGATGTGAATTTAAATGATATTGAGATTCAGATGAACAGAAGCTCTCTGCCTAGATTAGGTTCCTAGTGTAAGAGACAGACTTTGATGGGTGGGTATGCTTTAGGAAAATAAATTATTAAATATAATATCTACCAGAGGGTATAGAGAATAATACAAGGGGCAATGTGCTCCTGTCACCCAGCTTAAGA